TCATTTGTCCATATTGTCTCATTTTATCTTCTCTAAGATAATTTTTTTTTGGAAAAGATGCTAAAATATTTCAGTGATGTGCACAAAAAGATTTACTTGTTTCGTTGTCCAGCTGATTCACTGAAGCCAACATGAAATGCGTCACAGTTGCATTCACTACCAACGTCCACTACTGATACTGCTTGACCTTGTCTATAACAATGATAATATCAAGTAACAGAGTTACAGAATCTATGTAGGAAATGATATACTCTTCTTTATTGACATTTATGAGTTAAGGATTTTGAATTTTTTTTTTGGATGAAGAGATTTAAAAGAAGTCAGGCCAATGGGAACAGATATTGTCGAATTCGATCAGAGAACAACTAATCATTTCATTCATTTCACTTACTTTTTTGGCTTAATATTATCGGTATCAATTTGTAACATGTAATTACAGGTAAGATCAAGATGTTTTAAAGTTTTTGCCATGCATAAGTTTGTATCCAAATTTCTAAATTCGTTGTTTGAAATATCCAGTAACTGCAAAGAAAGTTATGAGCTGCTATTATACGGACTGTGATAACGATTGAAGAAATTGTTAAAATTACTTTCAAACATTCTTTTCAAAAATTTCAAACAATTAAAAAAATATTTCCACATGTTGAATTTCAGACAATTTGACATGCCAATATCAACTTGGTTACATAAAAGGATTCACCAACTATAATATATCAGTCAGATAACTGAAATTTGTGCTAATTCAGAAGTGAAATATATCATTTTTAAAATGATTATTAATGGATCGAGAACGCACATGTAATTGTGGTGATTGCGAGAAATCCGGAATTGTTGTGATATTATTGGAATGTATCCGAAGAATTTGTAAATTAGGTAGTTGTGCAAGTGAAGTTGAGACGGAAGTGAGATGATTGGCTGATAAATTTACTTCTTCCAATGCTACCAAACGGTTTAAACAACTTCAAAGAGAAAGAAATAATTTTTGCAAATTTCAAACAAAAATTTATGAAATGAACAAGAATTGATTGTCATATAAGAAATAGTAAGTGTAAAGTTATATGAATTTAAGCGAGTGGTTAGCAAAATATGAATATTAGCATCATTGCTATTTCAATGATTTTCATCTTTTAAAATCGTTTTTACTTTTTAGCATTAGCTAAACCAATTTCAAATACTTTTTATATTATGATTACAAATAAAATTATAATATATGAATTCTTTTTTTCGCTTTAAGTGAAAACAATATCATTTTTTGTCAAGGACTGAGTAATGCATAATGATATTTCAGGTGTAAATATCTGAAATCATAAGTTTAACTAATGCAATCATTAAAATATTTCGAAAAAAGAACCTGTCATCAAAAAATTGAAGGTGATTATAAGAAAGATCAAGAAGTCGCAAACGTCGACATGATACTACAACATTGATGACACTCTCATCCAGAAAATTTTTGGCTGCTCGAAGAAATTGAAGCCGATTCTGGTCAAGCATTGTGTTTGCAGTTGGAAGTCTTTTAAGTTGATTATGCGAAACATTCAAATTTTTCAGTCTAAAACAAGGATGACATAAATCGGTAATCCGAAATTATTTTATAACACAAAAATCATGTAAGTAATTCATAGAAATTTATATTGTGACAAATTATTATTAAAAAACTGTCAAATTAATGATTTATCTCAATGTTTGCGACAAAATTGCCTAAACCACATGGTCGACAAATTGTGGTAAAATTTTCTCAAATGATTTATATTTCCATTTGTAAATTGCAACTTATTTACTGCAAAAATTCCAGTTTTGTGACTAATTAACATTTTTGCTATTCAAATTTTACCTGATATCTAGAACTAACCAATCTTTTATGCCATATGCTTATCCGTTTATGATGGAATTTTAAATTATTCTTCACTTTAATTTTTGATGTCTAATTGGATGTAAAAATCCAACAAAATCTTGTTCAAAAACTTTTTCTAAAATTCTGATACTATCACAAATTCTACTTCACTCATATTGTATCCCATTCACCAATAAAGTTTGGTGCCATACTGCACTGTGATCATCAACGTCTAAAATAACACAATCGAGAGTCATCAACTAAGTGGTCAACCTTAATATTAAAAGGGGTTAAAATTAACGCTGTAACATGTAAGACGAAAATCTCTTCAAAGAAATTCAATCTTCACCAATCGCTCCTCAATCAATCAAATCAACTCATTTACAACACGAATTATAAAAATGATATACGAGTCGGAGATATTAATAACACCAATGACGTCTCATCGAGACTGAGTTAGCAAAATAACTATAACTTCTTATTTTCAACGAATCTTTTCTTACACTTCAACATGCATATATTTTGATGTAAAAAATATTTCCGATTCAGAAAGAGTTATCTCAAAAGGAACGCGTTCAGAAAGATTTACTTTAGAAAGAACAGATTTAGAAAGATTTGCTTCGGAAGGAACGGATTTAGAAAGATTTGCTTCAAAAGGAACGGATTCAAAAAGACTTACTTATTCGCTGATTTTAGTAATTCATTCGGTAATGCATCGATGCAATTATTATGCAACGATAAAACTTCCAACGAACAATTCTCGATAACATCTGGCAGACGCTCAATTTTATTATTGTTTACATATAGATTTTTTAATTTGCTTGAGCTCATGAAAATCCTGAAAAATAGGTGAAGTATTCTAAATTTAATGAGATTAAAGTTTTTTTTTGTTTAAAAATAGGATCTCTAAACAAATAAAATTGACATTCTGAGATTTTCACTCTTTCTTTACATCTTTCTTTCACTTGTATCACTTTTTAAAATTTTCGAAAGCAACAAGTTTAACCTTTGCGGTAAATAGAGGATAAAATTATGATGCGCAGAAATTGTTTCAACATGTTGCAAATCTGTTAGCCATTCCGGTAATGAAGTAAAACGATTGAATGAGATGGAAAATACCACGAGCTGAATTGGCACAGGCATTATTATCGCCTGCGATAGCTCTAAAATATCATTGCAACGTTGTTGTTATTATTTAATGTTACGCATTTCACGTGAATAAGAGATGTAGACGTAAATGTCATAAATTATAATGTAATAACCCAAATTACACATCTATTGAAGGGCTGAACATTTTTCACTTCACATTTGTTTTTTGTTTCAATGTCCTATGTAGTATGAAATGTAAAATTTGAATAGAATGATAAAGTTTCAATTTTTATGAATTTTTGCAACCTAGACGAAAATATGTTGTGCAAAAACTAAATGATAATACCGTAAAATAAAAGTCAAATCCTTTTGAATTCAATCAATATTTTTAATTCCAAAATTTTTGTCACCGCTAAAGATATATCTCAGAATGATTACTGATCTTTTATTCAATAAATTTATTTATCTATCATTTACCTAAATAATGAGTTTCTTCTAGAAGGAAATGGATTTGGGAGTTAGGGATAATGCTAAAAGTACTGAAATATTTCTTACTATCAATAACAGTTCAACTCTCAAACTGACGAAGTGATAAGTTTACCATTGTTATCAGCGTAGAGATATCTGAGATTGGTACCATTTACTTGAAGATTTGTTAAATAAAGCCTTTCACAGTGTACTATCTAAAAAGAGGTCAGATCATCCTACAATAATAAGAATGACAGGAAGAAGGATTGGAAAAGAATTTTAACCAATGAATAAATTTATTCCAACTAATGATATGTTAAACAATCAATAAATCAAAATAAATCTTTTTACTTTAGCTAATTTTATTGAAGTAATAAAAAGGAAAACACATGATGGCTTTGTTCACAAAAGATTATAGTACAACTAAATTATAGAATTATAGTACACCCATTGAATTTAAAGATTAAACAGAGTATAATCTTTGTTTTTTCTCAATTATTTTTTCGATGTTTAAAATATTATTGATTAGAATATTATTTTATTCAATTCGACTTTATCAGATGGAAATTAACTCGCTGGATGTCAATCATTGATTAAATTCAATTGATATCATTTAGTTCAATGATCTAAGTGAATGATAATGGCTGAGCATTTCAAGTAATCTATCATAATTTTAAAAATAAACATTTTTTTTGGTAAAAATCAATGTATAGAATATGTGTAAATACCTGTATAGTATGTAAATTACTTAAATCTAATTCGAACAAATTTCCATTATCACGAATATCCAATTCTGTTAATGCACAACAAATAAATGAAGTCAAACGTACGGCACTGAAAATATGAACGTTTTATTCAAATTAAAATTTTAGATTAAAGATTCAAATATAGGCTAGAAGAATGAAAGATATTTATTGCTTCATTTTAAGGTACATCTCTAATATTTCAATCAATTAACTATGGCATCATTAAAGGATAAACGCACTCTTCAATTTTTCATCTCATATACTTTTTTTTAGTAAATCAGGAGATCATTGCCATAGGGAGATCAAGCTTTTATTCTTTTTAAGTTATCGATTTAAAGCTTCCAATCCAACCCTGTCAATGCATTTCGACGCAAATTAATTTTCGGTGCATGAATGCAAGAGAGAGAATGCAACGCTGAAACTTCAATATTGTTTCCGGCCATTTCAAGGTACTGAATTCGTTTCAATGTGAAAAGAACATCCGGAATCTGAAAGCTATTACATCTAAAATGTAGAGTTGTTGAATTTTGAATTTTGAAACATTAATTGTATTTTTTTTTGGAATCTGTACTTAGAAACTTTCTCATCCTGAAAAATTAAGAATCATAAAGAAGCCCGCCGTTTCATTTTCATTTATTTTAAAATAAGCTGCAACTAAATTTGCACTGTTTTGTCAATTGCAACAAATCATTAATTAGCAAAAATAATTTAAGAAAAATAAGAATAGCTACCTGATTAAAGCGATTAAAACTTAAATCCAATTTAGATAACATCACACATCTTGAAAGTTCTTCCGGTATTGTTTGCAGCCAATTATTGCTAACATTCAGAACTGTCAAACTGAAAATTGCACGCGGTTTTATTATGTGAAGTCACGTCAAGTATCACTTCATGAAATCACGTTTTGTTTCATATACGCACGCTTACCTTAATTATAATAGTGTATAGAATTCTAAGTGATATTCAGTGATGATTTATTGTAAGCTATAATATTCTGAAGTAATTTATTTGTCTATTAACTTACTTGATTAATTCAGCAATTTGTGCTGGAATGTATGGTATATGATTTCCGGAAAGTATAAGTTCGGTAAGATTATTGAGATGAGTTACTGAAACTGGAAAATGATAAAGCGAATTGTCAGCGATATTCAACGAACGTAGAGAATGTAAACGTCCCACGTCATCGAGCCATCCGAGAAGTGGATTTTGAATCTGATATGCAAGAATAAATTAATTTTAAAAGCTTTCTTGCAATCAATCAATATTTTATTTCTGTGATAACTTTTTTCCATTCCGACAAAAATTGCAATGCATATTCAATGTGGTAAGTCAGTGAACCTGTTTAAGTGCGTATCAAAAAAAATTGACGTATCACAAATATTAGCATTTAGCAACAAAAGCTTTAGTTTCAGATTGCTAAAAAAAGTAGCAAAAAGACTGGCAAAATATTCATTTCGGTGTACAGCAGTAAGCACCAAATGAAATGAAAGGCAGAGATGGCATAAGAAAATACTTGATTTTAAAATCTTCATTCCATAGCCAATTAAAATGTAAATTTAGTTTTCAATAAATTATTGGTTAAAACTTTTTTTCCTGGAAGCTCCAAACCGATGGGAAAATCATTTACTATTTCATAAATTGAAAAACTCTAATTGAAAGACCAGAAATAATACCATTAAATTACACATTGGCTATAAATTTCAATACTAGAATTTCTTGAAAATCATTTTTCGGGGACGGATAAAATGTGATACATTTCTTGTCCAAATATCAATTCACCTCAGTTTTTCTTCTATTAACAATTTAAATCTACCTGATTGCTTGGACGAAATTGTAATGAATTCCTGCGCAAATTTAATGTAACAATTTGACGATTAACGCCAACCGAGAATAGCTCATCAGGTAATAGCAATAAACGATGATCACTTAGATCACAGATTGGTGCCATTTGAGTCTAAAATGAAGGATGAACAATGCATAGTAGTTTAGAAATTTCCTTCATTTGTGTATGCGCAATAATAGTAATCAAATTAATAAGTAAATCTGCAAAAGTAAAACAGTAACTCGACATAGGAACAGCTGAGGAGTTAAAATTATCAGATAAAATATGTTTTATCCATTTTGTTATAATATCAAAATGATTTAAATTCAATTCAATTGAGTGAAGTAAAAAATCGTTACAAATTTATCACCATAAAGTATTGAAGAAGAAAAATACTTGAAGTAATCGTGTAAGCCAAAGATTCATTTCACCGATTGCTTCAAAATGTAAGTTATAAATATTTGAGGAATCTGTAAGACGAAGATACTTTCCACGACTTCCTTCCGTTACATTAACACGATAGCGACTGAGTAGTAAAATCTCGTCACCGTTTTCTGAAATAATTTTTCATTGATAAAATCAATTGATTAGTCGCACTCTGAATTACTATTACAGTTTAAAATGCAAAATATAATGCATCATTTTTTTTTTCAAATAATCATGCTGCATTCAAAAAAATTGAACAGATTAAAATTTTCAAAAACCTATGAAATTTTTTATTGTAAAGAACCATAAAAAGTTTTAATTCAATATGAGTACTTTAAATTAATTTATATGACTAATTAATTTAAAATCAAAAGACAACTATTTGTTAGCTGCAATATGGTGTAAATGTTTATGACAAACAATGTATGAAGAATGGAGTAAAGTTAAAACCATGTTCGATTCGGATCGTTCCATTATAAAGTGTACAGCGACGTTTAATCCATTTTTGCAACAGTCGACCTTTGCGCACATGGCACCACGCTACGAGTATTTCACTGGATGCTCCGCCGCCAGCTGTTTGCTCTGGACGACCTGGATTAATTTTGAAGTTTAAAAATTCATTTAGAAAAACTTTAATCTCACTAATTGAAAGTGTTTAGGATGAGATTCAATTTAAATTTTGATCCATTCATTCTGGCAGATCATTGCGCTTATCATGTCAATATCATCAGGCATTATTCTTTCTGTTATAAAATCTTTTTACCGGAAAAGATATAACTCATTTTGCCTTTTTCAGAAATATACAAAACA